CACCAACACAAGTTTAGTTAAATAAAACAAAAGTAATGTGGTAGTGCAGGATAAACACACCACTAGACCCCCCCTACATACATATATTTTGGCCAATTTATCATTGAAATTCCTTTTCTCTCTCTTTCTTCCTTTTTTTTTTTTTTTTTCCATTTTTAAATAAACATTTTTAGTCCCTGTACTTAACCTAACATTATTTTCACCATCACCGTTTCCTTTCATCATCTTTTTACTATTTATTACAATTTCATAGCATCATTTTAAAGGCATTTCCTTTTATTATTATTATTATTATTATTATTATTATTATTATTATTATTATGTGGTCATGAGCTCTGGGTAATGACCGAAAGGACAAGATCATGGATACAAGCGACTGAAATGAGTTTCCTCCGCAGGGTGTCTGGACGCTCCCTTAACGATGGGGTTGAGGAGCTCAGTCACACGGGAGGAGCTCGGAGTAGAGCCGCTGCTCCTCCACATTGAGAGGAGCAGTTGAGGAGGCTCGGGCATCTGTTCCGATGCCTCCCATGCGTCTCCCTCAGGAGGTGTTCCAGGTACGTCTCACTGGGAAGAGGCCCCGGGAAGACCCAGGACACACTGGAGGGACTATGGCTACGTTCAGACTGCAGGGCTTAATGCTCAATTCAGATTTTTTTGTGAAATCTGATGTTTTTGCGAGGTCGTTCACATTTCCAATTAAATGTGACTTGTATGTGACTCCAGTGTGAACATTAAATGGCCCGAAAGTGTCCCGCATGTGCACTGGAGACACAACAACGTCAACCGCAGCGAGCGTCTCTGTGTTTACGACATCCAAACATGGACGCAGCATTGAGCACCTGGAGATTTTACAGTTCCTCTCGTACCGGAGCCAGAACATGAACAACTTACTTGTTTTAAGGAGGAGATTGAGAAGAAGAAGGACGAGGTTTTTGGCAGTGGTGTTTTGTCGGGCAGCGGCAGCGACGTCCGTTGAAAGAAACGTGTGGATGTGGAGACGGAGCCAAGAGTGGTGAGTGGTGATGTGCTTCGCTTCAGTGACACGGAGTTCATCAACAATTTTCGCCTACTTCAGCGCAGAATAGTGACGTTTGTGGCTTGTTGATAACGTGTAGGTGGATGAATGCACTTTGGCCGTTCAGACTGAAGTCACATGTCAAAAGAAACAGGTCACATAGGGGCCAAAAAATCGGATTTGGTCACTTCAGGCTGCAGTGTGAACGCAGCCGATGTCTCTAGGCCTGGGAACAACTCGGGATCCCCCCTGGATGAGCTGGAGGAAGTGTCCGGGGTGAAGGAAGTCTGGGAGTCCCTGCTTAGACTGATGCCCTGATGACCTGGCCCTGGATAAGAAAATGGACGGATTATTATTATATTTATTATTATTATTAACATCACCACCAAAACCACCAAAAGAGCAGGACGTTTATTAGTGAGTTTCAGATGAGATCAGTGTTCTGTAGGACAATATTATTTAATACAGACTGGGGCAACTAAAATTAAAGGTTGTATGGAGGATTTTTTTTTGTTTCAAGTTGTCAATGATAGATTATAGAGATGCAGTAGCCTTGTAAGATGATGACCAAAAAAAAGAGAATAAAAATTCATCAACTCTGGACGTGGTGGGGCTAAACATTTGCCAATAGATAACGACACTGCCTCGTTATCTGTGAGCTGACAGGCTGTCAATCAATCTCCCTACGTTTTCTAGCGTAACTGACTTGCCTGCGCCGCCGGTACGTGGTTTACGTACGACTGTCACGCAGTCCACAGACGCAAGACGCACAGACGCTGTTTACTCCACCAACGCAACAGTTCTTAGCGGCTTTTTTTGACCTATATCTTCCTCGCAGTTCGCACAAAGTTTGTTGCGATGGCGACAAGAATCCAGGAGCAGTTCGCCGCAAAAGAAAGTCTGTTTTTGAGGTCGCTGAAAGAAGAAGACAAGGGGAAAAGCAGCGAAGCCAAACTAAGGTGATTCTTGGAGATTCATTCCAGCGATGGCGCGACTGAAGCAGACGCAGGGTCTAAAGACTGAACGCACTGGTCCACAAATTACTCCTGGACAGGAAACTTCTGCTTATTATGAAAACGTACTTTATTTCCAAGAGCTACACAAACGTTTTTCAAGACACGAAAGCGATATCCTATGTCTGAAAACGTCATTTTCAGTGCAAAGAAAGAGTCCGCTTGCTGCTGCGTGTTGTAGCTAGTTCATTCGCACTGAATCTCCGCACAACCTTCTCTGCACCCCTTTCCTGCTCCTCTCCCCGCTGCCCGATCCGCTCTTCCCCCTGCTCCTCACTTCTCCGGGCACGGAATCTCCGCACAATCTCATCTCTCTCACTCTCTCTCTCACCTCTCTCCTCTCTCCTCTCACACTCGCTCTCTCCTCTCCTCTCTCCTCTCTCCTCTCTCTCTCCTCCTCTCTCTCTCTCCTCCCTCTCTCCTCTCTCCTCTCTCTCCTCTCCTCTCTCTCTCTCTCTCTCTCTCTCTCTCTCCTCTCACCGCTCTCTCTCTCTCTCTCTCTCTCTCTCTCTCTCTCCTCTCTCCTCTCTCCTCTCCTCTCTCCTCCTCTCCTCTCTCCTCTCTCCTCTCCTCTCTCTCTCTCTCCTCTCTCTCTCCTCTCCTCTCTCCCTGCTCCGCTCTTCTCCCTGCTCCTCACTTCTCGTCCGCGAACGAAATGTCCGCACACCCGCTCCCCCCGCTCCTCACTTCTCCGTCTTGCCTAACCAACACTGTAGTTAGTTGTTTACAAGTCATGTGCAGCACCGGCTGTAAACAAACCTGTTTCTGGCGTAAGGAGGAGGAGGGAGGAGGTGTTTCTACGTAGGAGCTGTAGGGGAGGGGAGGTGGTTTCACGCATGCGCAACATTTTAAAAAGGACAAACAGTCGCTGGATTTCTCCTTCCTTGGAAAATCCTCTATACAACCTTTAAAACTGTTAAAATGCAAAACAATGTTGTGATACAGTGAATTCTTGGGTTTAGTCACGATTTGAAAACACCAGGTTGAACATTTGTGCGTTTACCTGATGGATAAGTATGACTGAATGAATGACTTCTTTTCCATAACAATAAACAAAAATAAAAGTCACACAGATTTGACTGAAACATGTGTCTGAAGACGAGCGGGAGGAAGTAAATATTTAACAAATTTAACCCCTCCCCTTTTTTCTACTGCTCCAAATTAACAAAGAGTAAACAGATTTTTCATTTCCTGTAGAGTATAAACTATAACTGCACAGTACACACATTTTATTACAAAACAAACAGCACAAAAGCCGTCATTTTGAAATAATCGCTTGTTTAACTGCACTTATAAATGCATGTAAATTTGGACAAAGTTTTAGTTCTATTTTCAATCAGAGATACAAAAACTCTTCCTTATTGTCTGAGCATGAGGCGCTTTAAAGTTTAAAAAGCCTCTTAAATCAGAGTTGTCTTCCCTTTCATAAAAAAGTAGATGAATATATTTTGGTAAGTGCTGACTTTTACATTTATACATTACAGTTTGGTGCATCATCAAATTGTTCAGTTTAAGGATTTTGGCTTAAATAAATGATGGAAAGTGCAACGTAATCAACCAGGGAAAACTGGACCTGAAAAACACCGACTAATGTGTAAGGTTTAAACCAGGACTAAACCAGGTCTAAACCAGGTTTAAACCAGGTCTAAACCAAGTCTAAACCAGGACTAAACCAGGTTTAAACCAGGACTAAACCAGGTCTAAACCAGGACTAAACCAGGTCTAAACCAGGTCCAAACCAGGTCTAAACCAATACTAAACTAAATCAGGCCTAAACCAAGTCTAAGACAGATCTAAACCAAACCAGGACTAAACTAAACCAGAACTAAACCAGTACTAAACCAAACCAGGACTAAACCAAACCAGAACTAAACCAGGACTAAACCAAACCAGGACTAAACTAAACCAGGACTAAACTAAACCAGAACTAAACCAGCACTAAACCAAACCAGGACTAAACTAAACCAGAACTAAACCAGGACTAAACTAAACCAGCACTAAACCAAACCAGGACTAAACTAAACCAGAACTAAACCAGGACTAAACTAAACCAGAACTAAACCAGGTCTAAACTAAACCAGAACTAAACCAGGACTAAACTAAACCAGGACTAAACTAAACCAGAACTAAACCAGGTCTAAACTAAACCAGAACTAAACCAGGACTAAACTAAACCAGAACTAAACCAGGACTAAACTAAACCAGGACTAAACCAGCACTAAACCAAACCAGGACTAAACTAAACCAGCACTAAACCAGGACTAAACTAAACCAGAACTAAACCAGGACTAAACTAAACCAGCACTAAACCAAACCAGGACTAAACCAAACCAGGACTAAACCAGGTCTAAACTAAACCAGGACTCAACGAGGTCTAAACTAAACCAGGTCTAAACCAAACCAGGTCCAAACCAAGTCCAAACCAGGTCTAAACCAGGAGTAAACCAAACCGAGTCTAAACCAAGGCCAAACTAGGTCCGAACCAGGTCCAATCCAGGTCCAAACCAGGTCTAACCTAAACCATAACTAAACCAGGTCTAAACCAGGACTAAACTAAACCAGGACTAAACCAAACCAGGACTAAACCAGGTCAGGACTGAATATGTGTCCTTTAAGATACTTTTAGTAGTAGTAGTAGTAGTATTTTTCCCTCTGCCCTCGGTCCGTCCTTATTTCTAACAAACCCGACCTCTGCTCTGTGTGTGTGTAAAGACGTGACGCGGCTGACGTGGGCTCGTTTTAAAACATCTGTTGAGGTAATCTTATCTCTCTCTCTCTCTCGACGGTGTGGTCCCAGCCCGCCGTCGCCATGGGAACGGGTTTGAGTGTGGAGGGGGCGGGGCTTGGGCGAGGGGCGGGCGGGTGGGACGGAGCCTGACCGGAGTTAAACCGACCCGAGCTCTGGAACAGTCTCAGAAGAGCATCACCTCAGCTTCAGGACACACTCGTCAGCTTCAGGACACACTCGTCAGCTCAGGACACACTCGTCAGCTTCAGGACACACTCGTCAGCTTCAGGACACACTCGTCAGTTTCAGAGAGTTTGTCGAAGCATCACTGTTTGACTCGAGGTAAGAAAACTTTGAATTTATTTATGTTTTATTTTATTTGAGCAGAAACCAGCTAAAACAGGTCTAAACCAGGATTAAACCAGGACCAAACCGTGACTAAACCCGGTCTTAACTAAACCAGGAATAAACTAAACCAGGTCTAAACCAGGACTAAATTAAACTAGGTCTAAACCAGGACTAAACCAGGATTAAACTAGGTCTAAACCAGGTCTAAACGAGGATTAAACCAGGACTAAAGTAAACCACGTCTAAACTAAACCAGAACTAAAGTAAACCAGGTCTAAACCAGGACTAAATTAAACTAGGTCTAAACCAGGACTAAACCAGGATTAAACCGGGACTAAAGTAAACCAGGTCTAAGATAAACCAGGACTAAACCAGGTCTAAACCTGGACTAAATTAAACCTGATCTAAACCAGGACTAAACCAGATCCAAACCAGGTCTAAACCAGGACTAAACTAAACCAGGTTTAAACCAAGTCTAAACTAAACCAGGATTAAACCAGATCTAAACCAACACTAAACTAAACCCGATCTAAACCAGGTCTAACCCAGGATTAAACCAGGACTAAAGTAAACCAGGTCTAAACTAAATCAAGACTTAAGTAAACCAGGTCTAAACCAGGACTAATCCAGGGCTAAACCAGGTCGAAACCAGGACTAAACCAGGTCTTAACTAAACTAGGACTAAACTAAACCGGGTCTAAAATAAACCAGGACTAAAGTAAACCAGGTCTAAACCAAGACTAAACCAAGACCAAACCAGGTCTAAATCAAGACTAAACCAGGTCTCAGCTAAACCAGGACTAAACCAGGACTTAATATGTGCCCTTTGAGATATTTTTAGTAGTCGTAGTTTATTTCTTTAGGCTGCACTGCAAAAAACAAAATCTATCCAAGTTAAGACGACTTGAATTAAGAAAGTTTGATCATGATTTGAGTACATTTCACTTGACAAGTCAAATTATCTGACTTTTTGTACTTAAAATATGAAAATAGTACAATCTTACTACACTTAAAATAAGAAAAACAACAACTATTTGCACTTAAAATAAGAAACAAAATCAAATGTTGCTTGAATTAAGAAAAACAAACTTATTCCATTGGTAGGTAATTTTACTTTTCAAGTTGAATCGTTCGTAATTTAAGTCAGTCAAAAAAACAATATCTAGGTAAGTTATTACGTTGATATTGTTTTTTTTTTCCAGTGGATAATATTCAAACTATTTAAGACAAGTTAAGTCATATTTACAGTAATTATAATATTACTAATACTTACTAATAATATTTTGAGTCTATTAAACACGTCGTACTAATTTTAAAAGGGGTAGGGAAAGAAAGGCAGATTCTTTGGAGGTTTTTTGAATGCAGATTTTTATTACAGTAATGTGGTTTTAATTTTTGTGTCATTTGTAAATTATTGTTCTTTTCATAAAGTGTCCACGTGTCAGGACACACAGAGTCACATGCAGAAAGACAAGACAAGTGAATTATAAACAAAATAAAAGAAAATAAGAATAAGAAAAAAATAAGGAATAAAAAAATCATATGAAAAATAATAAATAATAATAAAAATAACAGAAAAAATGGGTTGTTAAAAATAAAATAAAAAAAATTTAAATTTATAAAAATAAATAAATAAATAAAAATACATTCACCTATGATACTTACGAGTGAATAAAAATAATTATCTATGCACTGCAAAAAAAACTATCTTAGTAAATTAAAATGACTTAAATTAAGAACATTATTTTACTTTATTTGAGTAGATTCAACTTAACAAGTAAAATTATCTATGTGGATTTCTTAATTCAAGCCACATTGCATTTTGTTTCTTATTTTAAGTGCAAAAAGTTGTCGTTTTTCTTATTTTAAGTGCAGCCAAGATGTATTTTCATATTTTAAGCACAAAAAGTCTGTCAAATAATTTTACTTGTAAGTGAAATTTACTCAAATCATGATAAAACTTTCTTATTTGAAGTCATCTTAACTTGACTAGATTTAGTTTTTGCAGTGTATTGTTTTGAATGGATTTTTTATTAAAATGCTGTTAAAATCTTTGCATATTCATTGAGGTAATATTGTTATGGGAATATTTATTTATTATTTTTTTTATTGTGATATTAGTCTATGTTCAGACTGCAGCCTGAAGTGACCCAAAACTGATTTTTTTTCACCCCTATGCTCCTGTATCTGATCTTTTAATGACACAGATCTGATTTTTTTTTTTTTTTTCAAATGTGACCCAGGCCACATGGATATTTGATCCTAAAAGCTGATACATATCTGATCTTTTGACACGCGACTTCAGTCTGAACGGTCAGGTCACGTTCATCCCACCTACACGTCAGGATCGGAGTCTCGTCAGTGGAGGGAAAGTGAAGTCAGGACAAACTGGACGAGTCTTATCAGAACTGGGCGGTTTTTGAAATGATGCCAAAGAAATGTCCGAGCGCGGCTACAGACGGTCCTGGCTCCAATGTCAACAAAAAATAAAGAGCCTGCGACCTAAATACAAGGAGGATAAAGACTCAAACAAACGAAGCGGCCGTGGACGTGTGACCTGAACATTTTACCAAGACCTGGACCGGATTTTGAGAGACAAGTCCAGAGTTTAGGCGACTATGCGCATGCGGGACACTTTTGGGGGCGTTAAAAGTTCACACTGGAGATCGCACGCAAGTCGTGTTTAACAGGAAATATGAACGACCTCGCAAAAAAATCAGACTTCACAAAAAAATCCAAATTGAGCGTTAAGCCCTGCAGTCTGAACGTAGCCTTAGAGAAAGTACAAACAGTTAAAGACTTTAGACATTTTGACTTGACGGGATCAGGAGAGCAAACATCAAGATTCTGTGTGTCATTTGTTCATTTGATTTTCAATATAAAACCAAAAATAAGAAAATGAAAAAACAACTATTTTCTTCATTATTTGTCTCCAAAACCAAAAAAATTATTCATTTTTTTCAGTTTTTTGATTTTGTGTTTCAATGAAAAATGGAAAAAACGGATAAAAACAGTTTCCCGTTTTCTTGACATAAACTGCAATTCCGGACTGAACCAGGACTGATCCAGGTCCGGGACTAGACCAGAACCAGACCGGCACTGAGACCAGGGCTGAGATCAAGGACTGAGGCCAGGACCAGACCGTGATTGAGACGTGACTGAGACCGGGACTGAGACGGGGACAGACCAGGACTGAGACCAGGACTGAGACCGTGACTGAGATGGGGACAGACCAACACTGAGACCAGGACTGAGACCCGGACCAGACTGGAACCAGACCGGCCCCGAGACCAGGACTTAGACCAGGACCAGACCGGGACCAGACCAGGACCAGGCCAGGACTGAGACCGGGACTGGGACCGGGACTGAGAACGGGACAGACCAACACTGAGACCAGGACTGAGACCCGGACCAGACTGGAACCAGACCGGCACCGAGACCAGGACTTAGACCAGGACCAGACCGGGACCAGGCCAGGACTGAGACCGGGACTGGGACCGGGACTGAGAACGGGACAGACCAGGACTGAGACTGGGACCAGACTGGAACCAGGCCAGCACCAAGACCAGGACCAGACCGGGACCAGACCAAGACTGAGATCGAGACTGAGACCAGGATCAGACCGGGACCAGACCGGGACTGAGACCGGGACTGAAACCGGGACCAGACCGGGACTGAGACCGGGACCAAACCTTGACTGAGACCGGGACTGAGACCGGGACCAGACCGGGACTGAGACCAGGACTGAGACCGGGACCAGACCTTGACTGAGACCGGGACTGAGACCGGGACCAGACCAGGACTGAAAACAGTTTAGTCCTGTTTTGGTCCTGATTCAGTCCTGGTTCAGTCCGTATGTGGCGCAAAAGTCCCACATCACAGTTCAAGTCACAGAAACGATCGTTATCCGTTTTTTCCATTTTTCATTTAAACACAATATCAAAAAATGAAAAAACAAATCTTTATCTGTTTTTTTCATTTTGATTTTGGAGACAAATAATGAAGAAAATTGTTGGGTTTTCATTTTCTTATTTTTGGTTTTATTTTGAAAAATGAATGAACGAATGATACACGGATTATCAAGGTTTAAAGGTGCAACAAAACAATAAAAATGGCTTCTGTTTCTTATATTTCTCTTGCAATTTCTACCGTCTATATTTATTTATTAATGTATATATTTATTTTCCGCAGATCTGAGCGTGAGGCCTCCCATGTGGGTCGTGGAGAGGCTGCGTGAGTCCATGGACAGATGCGGACCGCCTGTGCCTTCAGCGGATTTCAAACAAAAACTCGGCGAGATCATGTTCGGCGAGAAAGTCCACAAGCCCAAACGGATCTCCTGCCCCAACGTCATCACGCCGGACAACATCCCCGAGTTCTGCATCCCGCCCACCTTTCCGTCCAGCCACCACAACCTCGATCCGGGTCGAGTTCCGCGACTGGTCCAACCTGCGCCCAAAACGGACCTGGAACCGGCTCTGCATGAAATCTACAACCCTCATATAATCCAGGTGGAGAGCGTGGACGAAAGCCCCGGAGACGTCTGCAGCGATGAGGAAACTACAAACGCAGATCCGCAAAGTCAAGCGGCGTTGTCTCTTCCGCATTTGGCCAAAACGCAAACTTGCTACGGGTTCTGCACGTTACTGGAAAGCCCTCACACTCGCCGTAAGGAGTCGATTTTCCACAACGACTCCGCTTCTCCGTTGCTCCTACCCAGAAGTCGATCGAGTATTTGCACTAAACTATCCCCGACCTCTTCGCCGTGTCCGTCTCCGTCCTCCTTCAGCTTAAACCAGTTGTCTTCCAGGCTTTCCCCGCGATCTTTTTCCTGGCAACCCGCCGTGGACAGCGACACGACGTCCTCAACGGAATCCTCGCCCTTTAGCTCCCCGCTTCTGAACCGCTACCCGAAGTCTTCTCTTTTCAAAGCGTTGAGCCACGAACTGCTTCTGAGCCGGAACATGAGGAAGGCGATGGTGTCCCGGAACAACTCTCTGTCCACCGACGAAGGGAGTTCGACGGACAACAGCCCCAACGTGATGAGGCGGGGGTCCGAGGTGTTGGCGGAGCTTCCCGGGAACTGCAGCCTGGCTCCTCCGGCGGTGTTCCCCTTAGACCTGAACCTGCACCGAGAGAGACTCATGAAGGAAAGGATGGTGCCGATAGGAAAAGACGGAAGCTTAAGGTTGTTCGCGGAGTATTGCCCCGAAAACCTAAGACTCCGAGTCCGTCTGATCAGCGCGGAAGGTCTGTACCCTCTTTCCGTGGACCCTAAGATCATAAACTGCAGCGTGAGCCTGAGTCTGGTCCCGGGGAAAGTCCAGAAGCAGAGGAGCACGGTGATCAGGAAGAGCCGGAACCCCATTTTCAACGAGGACTTCTTCTTCGACGGCATCACGGAGGAGGACTTGGAACACAGGTCGCTCCGGTTTAAGGTGGTCAACAAAATGTCCACGTTAAAAAGAGACTATCTGCTGGGCGACTGCGACCTGCTTCTGTCCAGCATCGTCACGGCCTAAAACGACTTCCTCCTGTTTCTATTTATTTATTTTTTCTCTCTTTTTTTTGGTTAAAATGTTCCTTTGTTAAAAATAAATTAATAAAAATGCGACTGTTTTGTCTTCACGTTCATTTGTGGGTTCGGTCAAGTGGTAACGGAGGGAAACAGAGGCGGATTTTTTTACATTCAAACAGCTCTTATTCAGAAACTAGAGGGACTATTGAAATAAGTAAAGTATCAGAATGTAGGAAAGAGTTACACTCCAACAGGGTAAAGTTAAACATGTGATATTCTTTCAAGATGTTGACTAAAAATTTAAAAACTCATGTCGGTAACAGAGGGAATGAAATATGCAGCACTTTTTGGGCAATAAATCCAAACAGTGATAACTCTTGGTTCTCACTTACATATCCTTAACAAACTGGTTTGAATATTTGCTTCATATAGTTTTCTACCATATGGTACAAGATTAGGTTGAAAAACCTCTTACTTTTTGAGTAACAAGATTTTTTATGAAGAAAGGTCATGGTAACGGAGGGAAAAGTAACAGAGGGAAAATTGTGCAAACAAGTAGAAGGTGCAGGATTTTATGAATTTGTCACTTTTTTCTTCCGAAATACTTTAATATTACTTCAAAATGAAAGGAAACTATTTCTATAAAATATGTCAGTCCTTCCAAGCAAATTTTTATCATTTTAAATACTTTTTTTTTTTTTGAAAAATCATGTACCTTCATCAACAGTTCAAAGATCAAATAACACAAGATATGATGAAATACATCCATTTATTTACATGATTTTCAGGTCTTTGAAATTTGGGAAATAATTTTTGTTCCATGTTTCATACATGGTCTGTTTAAAACGTATGTAACTTTAGAACCAAAAATGGTACAGAAAAAAGGTCAACAGTTTCATAGAGTACATATGTATCTGTTCAATACATTTTTATATCAGATGAATTAACTTGAATTTTTGGCCTTGCTGTTTACTTCTGCATGACCGGGCCCTTGTGCTAAAAGGAGAAATTCAATAACAAGACAATCATGATTTTCTCAGAAGGCAAATAGTCATTATCTTCAAACGCAACCTTCACTCGCTCCGTGTAGTTAAATAAAACGTGTGTTCAGAAAGGAAACACTCATATCACTGAGATAAGGACTGGGACGTGCACCACAGCGGCCCTCTGCAGTTTGAGTTTTATTCAGAGACAAAATTCAATAAAGTTTTTGTTAATCATCATTTAGAAATACCTGAGCCGTTGTTTAATGTTAGAGCTGGAATAGTCTCATTTCAGACCATCATACCTCGAGAAAGTCCAGGTTTAGATCTGGTGGAACCTGGAAACCCAAATATTAAGTTTTGTGGAGTTAAGTCAAGTCATTTTATTTATATAGCACATAAAAAAAAAACAATAAACAATAACAATAACACAAATATTACAAAAATATTACATAAAAGAGTGACTTAATACATAGTGTTGGGGAGTAACAGATTACATTTACCAGAGTTATGTAATCAGAGTACAAATTATGAGTAACTGTATTCAGTTACAGTTACTGTTTCAGTGAGTGGTAATTGGATTACAGTTACTTGGATTACACGGCGGTATTTTCCTGTTTTCACATTTTGGGCTGTATCCCAGCATTATCAACAAGACACAAACGTCACTATTCTGCGCTGAAGTAGGTGAAAATTGTTAATGAACTCCGTGTCACTGAAGTGAAGCACATCACCACTCACCACTCTTGGCTCCGTCTCCACATCCACACGTTCCTTTCAACGGACGTCGCTGCCGCTGCCCCACAAAACACCACGACCAAAAACCTCGTCCTTCTCCTTCTCAATCTCCTCCTTAAAACAAGTAAGTTGTTCATGTTCTGGCTCCAGTACAAGAGGAACTTTAAAATCTCCAGGTGCTCGATGCTGCGTCCATGTTTGGACAACTTCTGTAAACACAGAGACGCTCGCTGCGGTTGACGTCGTCGTGTCTCCAGTGTCACATGTGGGACACTTTTGGGCTGTTTAACGTTCACACTGGAGTCACATACAAGTCACATTTAATTGGAAATGTGAACGACCTCGCAAAAACATTAGATTTCACAAAAAAATGGAATTGAGCATTAAGCCCTGCAGTCTGAACGTAGCCTTAGAATTTCAGAATGAGACTTAAGTAATTTGATGGAACTGGTAACAGAGTTCACATAATGAAAGTGGACACTCAATAAAATACATGACATACAAGATTAAGTTGAATATGAGACTTTGGGGACTCTGCAATGTTATAGTACATTTTTGAGAAGTAACATGGATGACAATAAAACACAAATAAAACTGTACCCTGCTCAGGACAATTATAATGAGCATTTTGATGTTGGGAGTCTTATCTTTCTCTTTATAGTATCAATGGAAACTCAAAATGCAGTTTCTAAAGCAGTCTGAGTCTGAATCATTTAGAATGACCTCATCCATTTTTAGTCTATTTTTAGAGCTGAAATAGTCTCATTTCAGACCATTTGGGTCCAACTTTTGTCCTGAAAAGGTCTGGTAGATCTGGCGGAACCTGGAAAGCCAAATATTAAGTTAGAAGTAAGAGGTGTGAGAGGTTTGACACTGAGATCCTGATGTCTGCACGTGCCACATGCTCTTGTCAACAGACGACACACTGAACATTCAATGAACACTCAAATGACACTCAATAAATGTATAAAACTGAAGTATATATTTGGAAAAACAGCCATAATAAAATCTCCCCACACAAGCCCTGGGCCAGAAGATTAATTAAGTTGGACCTTGCAGTTTCACAGTGGATTTTTGAGGGGTGAACACAGATGACAGTTAAACAAAAACAAAACTGTATCCCACTCAATGCAATTATAATGAGCACTGAAGTGTCTGATACTTTTGATGGAGTATTATCTTTCTACGATCAGTGTATTTTATATCTGAAGTACAAGCACATGCGTCCTGTGCTCAGGTCTCTTGGCTCTGCTTGTACAAGTCTCTCCATGGCCGAGCACCAAAGTCCATCTGTGACATGTTAGTGCCATATGAACCATCTGCACCCGAGGAGCTGAGGGACCCACCTCCTGCTGGTGCCCAGAGTCACGACTAAACACAGGGAATCAACGTTTCAGATTCATGCAGCTAAAACCTGGAACAGTCTTCCTGAAGATGTTAGACAGGCAGAAAAACAGAATTTATTGTAATGTATGGAAAATCATGATCAAATAATAAAACATTAGGGATGTAACAATAACCAAAATATCGTGATATCGTATCGTCAAAGTTCAGGGACCATCACAGTACTGTATTTTTCGGACTATAAGTAAGTATAAAGTAAGGAGTATAAGTCACACCAGCCAAAAAATGCACAATGAAGAAGAAAAAAACATATATAAGTCACACTTTTTGGGGAATTGTATTTTATAAAATCTGAGACCAGGAACTGACATTTCATCTTGAAAGTCAAGTTCTAGTAAAAACAATAGAACAGAGAACAACAGACTGAATAGGTGTTAATCTGTTAACGTAACATATTAACAGTTATTCAGATAATTATAGCATAAAGGACAGAACATAAGTTTACCAAACTCAGGATCTCACTCCAAATCACTAAATCCATTCAATTCTTCATCCTCTGTGTCACTTCTGCGCAATAAACCAGATAAACCATAGATCCATGAGGTAAACAGAGCGTCGCTTCCTCTTCTGTGTCGCTGTCGTCAGACTCAGCATCAGTTCCAGTTAGAATTATTCCGGCCTTTCTGAATCCAGACAGGATGGTTTCAGTGTCACTGAAGTCCAGGTTTTGTCCATCCAACCAGTCACTTCAGGAAAGTTTCATGGTGCATCCTCCAGGTTGCCGTGAAGCTGTGTTCTTCATCCCCACTTTCTGCCAGTCCCTCACAAATTTCTTGTTCACTCCAAACTTTGTTCTACATTCAGACTGCAAGGCTTAACGTTCAATTCAGATTTTTTTTTCAAATTAAATGCGACTTGTATGTGACTCCTGTGTGAACATTAAACGGCCCAAAAGTGTCCCGCATGTGCACTGGAGACACGACGACGTCAACCGCAGCGAGCGTCTCTGTGTTTACAGAAGTTGTCCAAACATGGACGCAGCATCGAGCACCTGGAGATTTTAAAGTTCCTCTCGTACCGGAGCCAGAACATGAACAACTTACTTTTTTTAAGGAGGAGATTGAGAAGGAGAAGGACGAGGTTTTTGGCCGTGGTGTTTTGTGGGGCAGCGGCAGCGACGTCGGTTGAAAGGAACGTGTGGATGTGGAGACGGAGCCAAGAGTGGTGAGTGGTGATGTGCTTCACTTCAGTGACACGGAGTTCATTAACAATTTTCACCTACTTCAGCGCAGAATAGTGACGTTTGTGGCTCCTTGATAACATGTAGGTTGGATGAATGCCTTTTGGCCGTTCACACTGAAGTCGCATGTCAAAAGATCAGATATGTATCGGTTTTAGGAGCACATATCCAAGTACAGTACATACTTATGAATAAATTGTAATCTATTTATTTAAGATTGTGTGTTTTTAACATATTTAAGATTTATTTATTGTGATTTTAGACAAGTGTGTTGGATGATTTTAATTGGTTGTTTATGGAACAAACCATTCTGCACTGGAGCACTGTTAACACTTTATTGTCATTTTATTGTGTTTTTATGTGTGTTTTGTGGATGAATGAAATGTGAAATTTGGAACCTGTCTCTTAAATCTGCAAAGCAAATTTACCTACGGTACGAATAAAGCAACCTAACCTAACCTAACCTAAGTGTCCTGGGTCACATTTGAAAAAAAATCGGATCTGTGTGGTTCAGACTGTCATTAAAAGATCAGATACAGGTCACATAGGGGCCAAAAAATCAGATTTGGGTCACTTCAGGCTGCAGTCTGAACGTAGCCTTTGTTTCTGCTGCTCAGTTACAGTTTTCGGCCGAATATTTCACTACTTGCAGCAGGACAGCGGCTTTTTCTGCAGGAGACATGCGCAGTAGGGCGGTAG